GTTTGCTGCCTTGCGTTCTTTACAAAAAATAATAAAGCTGGGAATAAAAAAAAAATCATGATAAAAGAGGATGTCAATGCTAGTTTAAACTGAAATAGCTAAATGTGACTTTAACCAGGCTAGAGATGAAATAAAAGGAAATCATGAGAATGTATCTTTTAACAACTTTTTGTGGGATATCTCCATGCTCTGTTTAAAAGGGTGTAGGATTACTTCCTCGGTCTGTTGATTGTTAAGAGATTCTTAACTATTTGCTATTTATTCCTACTTCAAATTATGTTTTAAGATAATTTTTTCTGTTTGTATTGTTGGATTTGTTTGGTTTTCTCAATGTAAATTATTTTAGTAATTTATTAGTTAGCTTGCAATTCACCAGTAAGAATACTAACTTAAAATTTTCAGATTGATCCTACAGTAAAATTTTATTATATAGTCAAATCTTACCATTTTTCAAATATCAAAAGTCTGTGTTTGTTTAGCACTAACAGGGTATTATATAATACAAAAAGGTTAGTTGCTTGCTAGAGTTTGTCCTCACATTGTCACAGAATTGGGAGAAAGAAATGGAAACAGGGATAAAAAGAGGCAGAATGTATGTTTAAATAATTTATATCTACTCATACTTCCTTATAGTAGAATATGAAGATAGCACTATAGTATGTATTATAGATACAGTATGAATAGGTATAAATGAACAGGCATGCATTGTTCACCTGTTGACCCCTGCTTTCATCTCCTTTCCTGGGGCAAATTTTAGATTGTAAACATATTGGAATAGGTATATGTTCTCTTTATGTTTCAGTTACATCGTTCCTAATAAGGGCATTCAAAGATAATTAAATTAGTTTAGTGAGCCCACTTCTCAGCCCTTTCTATTTAAGCTAGTTCTTGGTCATCTGAACTTACATTTTACAATCTCAGCCCTCCTTCTGTAACCACTCCTCTATGCAAGCATTTAATATGTTAGAATATACTATTCCTTTGAATATGGAATGTGCTAGCAAAATGATGGAATGATAATAAAACCCAAGTCATCCACCCATGGAATCTCAAAGCCTGCTGAGAATTTGTTCCTCAGGATACAATGAAGTTAATATGCTTTTCCCGCTCCTTGCTTAGACCCAAACAATCTACAGTCAGCTATATTTATCATTCCTCCCTCATAGTTTGCTTTTTTTTCCTGCTCTTATTGTGACTTGGTAAGGCTCATTCACTTTTAACCCAAAGTGGCAAGCCTGAGTGATGGGTTAACAATGAATCATTTAATTAAACTGTCAGAAATCCTTCACACTTGGTCTCTAATCCAGAGTGAAACCTGCCCATTCAAGCGATACACTTATCTAAGGTCCGAAAGGGTGTGTGAAGGTTGATGTGGAAATCAATTATGTTCTTGGTAGGGGAGATTACCCTTTTGACAGTGAAAGGCACGTGCCCTTTGGTGTCACATCTTCAATACATGTCAGAATCTATCACAGCTTACCAAAAAATCTTCCATAATGCCTTTGGAGGTGACAAACCAGAGAGAAAGAGCTTCACTGTCAGGTGCCCTGACATAAGCTCTTGTGGCAGTGGAGAGAAGACCTAATCATGAGGTGGACCTCCAAATAACAAACTCCTGTTTTTGAGGCAAAATTCAGATTGAGAAGTCACCCAACAGATAATTACTTCCTGACAGGAGGCTCTTGGAAGACTAGAATAATGCTCATTGGCAGATATTCATTAGGTTAGAGATCAGGGAAAAAGGATCTGCTGCAAGTTTTTCTCCTGAGTCTTCTTGCTTAACATCTTTATAAATAATACGGATGAAAGAATACAGAAGATGCTCATTTAGTCTGCAGTATGATAGCTAAAATATGAACATGGCTTTAGATTGCACTATACTGCCTTTCATATCATATTGATGGCTGAGATCATATTGATGGCTGTCTGGGATCTTCAAAGAATAGGTTCTAAAATAAGGTGAACTAGTTCCCAGGATGTTCTTTATTGCTTTATATTTCACTTAGGTTTTTGGTTTCTTCCTTTACTTGAACAGGAGATCCTGCTTATGCTCAGCTGCAGCCATCCATTATTTTTATTTTCTAAGACTGTTTATGGAATGCATTTAATTTTGTTTAATTAAAACAACTTTAAAAATATTTAGGTAGGGCAGGAGATCTGGACAGTGCCCAGGAAGATATTGTGAGCATGTGGGAGAAGACCTTTGCCTGGGTTGCTGCTTGTGATTGAATTCAAAAATTGCATTTGAAGCACATTTTTCACCTTTAAAAGAGCAATGAAAATATATAGCCTAGCCCATCAAATGTAAATGATTTTGGCACTTGCTGTTTTAATTGCCTTATGATTATATTATTTCCATTCTGTGTTTCTATATTGTTAAATCTACTGAGTGTTCAAAGAACTGAAAGACAGTATATAAAATGAATAAATACATGAAGGAACCAATTAAGATGGAAGCTGAGTTCCAGCATTAACACTTGATTCATGCCTCTTACAAGATTTCCAGAAACTGTTCTACGGTGTCATAGGATTTCTTGCAGCGAGCCAAGTAAATTGGTAAGGCTTGTTTTTAGAACCAGTTGCAATGCAAATTAACTTCTTACTACACACATGGACCTTTCTTAATCTTCCTTCTTTTCAGTGAGGAAAATGGAAGATTTATCACTGCTCATCATGTGCACCTTATTAGACCACATGCTTGAATTTTGCCTGCAATTAGCTGCCTTTTTCCTGGTTTTAAGAGGCACTGCTCACAGCAATACTTTACCAAAATCTTAGAGTTCAGTAGTACAGAATTGGACAGGATCTTGCAGAAGGTCATGCTGACCAACTCAGAAGAATCTATTATTTTAGCAGCTTAGAAAACAGTCATAAGGAATCCTCCCCCACCCACTGTTTTATGCAAGTAGAGATAAAACAGAGACAGGAACATGTAACATGTTGCAAAAGAGGGACAGAGAAGTGCCCAAACCACCCAGATTGAACTCTATTTAACTTGTCCTTGGCCAGAAAGCATCTCTGAATGAAGCTTCTGGAAACGGCACAAGCAAATGTTGGCCATTCTCATAATGATAGCGGGAGAAAGCAGGCATCTGCTTGGCCACATTCATATATATATAATATATAACATATATTCTGTTATGCCCAATAGACAGAAGTGTCAAGGCTGCACGCTGATTTACTAAAAGACATGATTGCTCCTGCACAATGCAAAAGGTTCCAAGCAGGCAGCATGACACTGTCCTGTGAAGTAGCCAGTAATGATATATTAACATTATGCACAAGTGTATCAAATAATCAGCTGCTCTCCCCATCGTTTAATGAAGGAAGAGAATGTTGGGAGCTGACAGGAAATAAGAAGCCATCCTGCTGACTTTGAGTGGCACTTGAATGATATGAGAGTGTCTTGGCATGTGAAAAGGGGAAGGAATGGGAGCATCATTAATTTTTAAATGTGCTTCATACTGAGAAAGAAAGTGGGGGGGGGGACACTGAATGCAAAAGGAGTAAAGCAATTCAGTTCTGCCAGCACTGAAGCCTATTTTCACATCCATGAAATTTAATCAGTTGGAAAGCTGTAGTAAATCCAAAGCCCACTATAGCATCTGCATTTTAAAAAAAATGTAGGTTAAGCAGTATAAACTTGAGAAAATGAGGACATGGAAGAAGGAGTACCATATAGGACATGCTGTAAGCAGAAACTGGTAATAAAAGAGATAGAGCTGGATAAATCAGCAACAATAGAAGCTAAGGTGATTTTTATTGCTCAGATGTCCTTATTTGTCAAGGAAATTGGCATTTTCTTGTTTCCTTTTTTTCAAGACAGCACTATTTTAATACAATACATTTGAATAACAGTTCATAAATCTCAATTTTAAAACTTCTGAGATTATGAAAGATTAACATACATGCAAACAGGCAAAAAATAAATAACATGTATGTGTATAAAATCAGATGTAACTTACATATCAACACGATCAGAACTTAGGCCCAGAAAAGAATTTTTTTCAATTTTGCGAATATTTATGTTGTCTTGAATATCTCTGAGATTAAAAGAAAAGACAAAGGAAGGGATACAAACATGGATTTTCATACTGTGTTGTTAAAATACAAGGCAGCACCTCTTCTTTCTCATTCCTTAAACTTTAGCAGTTTTTGGGAGGTAGGGGGGAGGAAAGATTTTATAGTAGTAGATACCAAAGTCAAAATGAAGTGAGAGCATAATTACAATCATACAAAAATGCAAATATATAATAAATACTTTATATAACAACTAATAAAACTTTTTTGAGGACTAAAATTCTGGTATGTAGCAAAGTTCTTTTTTGTGTGTGGCTGAACCTCCAACTGGAAATCACCACACATAATACTGTCTCTGCTATGAATCACTATTAGCATAACAGAATTTGAAATTAACAAAGAAAGGTCAAAGTCTGATTTTAAAGAGAGAGTTTGAAGATAAATCCTATTTTCTTCTGGGAACTTATTCTTGTGTAAATGCTAATGCTAAGTAGTTTCCATGCACAAAATGGCTTTGTTGTCTTCAAAAGTATTTTATCCATGAATTCCAGTGGTGTGTATTATTTATTGCTACAACAGATATAAGGAGAATGAGTTGCTCTTTCCCTCTGCAGCTTTTTGCCTTGTCCCAGTGCTTGCACTGGAGAAGGCTAGGAGCTCTCTGAAGCAGATCTGGGGAAGAGCATGTAGGTACATGTGAAAGAGACGGAGAGGAAGTCCCTGCATAACCGGAAGTATGTTCACATGATGTTGATAACTGCATCTTACTAAAAATAATTTTACATAGCTACATCATTTTAATTTGATCTATTGGTCAATTCTGAAGGTATATTCACTTTGAAACTTTTGTAATTATCCATGGATACAGTGGATATACAGTACTCAAGAGTTTCCAGAAATAAAATATGTATTATCCCCTATCAATTTCTATTTTCATTTTTGTGTTGCAAGTTTAAAATCTGAGATTTTGTTCTGTTGAAGATTTGTATGAGCTAAACTGTAATTTGGATGGAATCTATTTTAATTTATGTCTCCTATTTCTCTTTCCCAAAGTTGCTTTTTCAAGAGGCAACTGGACTTTCTTTGAAGACGTTTCGCTTCTCACCCAAGAAGCTTCTTCAGCTCTGACTAGATGGTGGGGAAATGGAAGGATTTATACTCCTTGAGTATAATAGGAATATAAATTCTTCCATTCCCACCATTCAGTCAGAGCTGAAAAAGCTTCTTGGATGAGAAGTACAGAACAGAATAATAGAGTTGGAAGGGACCTTGTAGGTCATCTAGTCCAATCCCCTCGCCCAAGCAGAAGACCCTACATCATTTCTGAGAGATGGCATTCCAGTCTCTTCTTGAAAGCTACCAGTGATGTTTCCAGTGATACATCTTCAAAGAAAAACAAGAAAGTCCAGTTGCCTCTTGAAAAAGCACGTTTGGGACAACTATGACCTGGATGACTGAGAATCTCCTTAAACTATTTCTCTTTGCTTTACTCTCTGTCTGTCTGTCTGTCTGTCTGTCTGTCTCTCTCTCTCTCTCTCTCTCTCACACACAGACACGCAATATATGTTCCTAAAATTAAAGCTGGAAAAATATCCAGGAAAAACTTACAACACAACTTGGTGCAAAGCGTGTACTTGGTTAACAACAGGCAAAAATCTGATGGCAGTGTTCGATATTAACCTAAAAGAAGAGAAAATATATAGTCATAATTAGCTGTGGGAGGAAGGAGGGACTTATGAGAAATGCCTTCTCAACATGGATGCCCTTCAGTTGTGTCACAGCAAGCCAGAATGTTTACTGTTAATCTGTGATAGGATTCAATTTTTTTTACTACTGGTTCTGTGGGCATGGGTTGGTGGGCGTGGCATGGCTTGGTGGGCATGACAGGGGAAGGATACTGTAACATCTCCATTCCCACCCCACTCCAGGGGAAGATTACTGCAAAATCCCATTCCCTCCGCACCCCATTAACCTGCTTTCCAGCTCCATTTTCTTGTGCAGGGCAACAAAAGAAGACCCAGCCAATCAGCTGGGACTTGGGAGGCAGAGAATAGGTGGGGATGGGGCCATTCAGAGGTGATATTTGCCAGTTTTCCAAACTACTCAAAATTTCTGCTACCAATTCTCCAGAACCGGTCAGAACCTGCTGAATACCACCTCTGCTGTTAATTCAATATATTTGGAGGATAGCAAGAATAGTTAAAAAAAATGGCATTTATAATCCCAGAGAGTACTAGACTGAAGAAGGCTGTCCCAGGATGATCTTGTGATCTTATCACTGACATTATTTATGACTTCAGTAAATAACTTTATACAGATATGCTGCATAGTTCTCAGCTACAACATGTGAAACTAAAAGGGGAAAAGCAAGTTTTGTCCTCACACTTATGAGATTCTTGAAATATGAAAAGAAGCAGCAAAGAACTTGTGTCACAGAGGGACTAATGAGTATGTGGCAGTAAGTCACATATCCAACATAAGGAACAACTAGTTCCATTCCAAAGCCAACCTTCCAATCAGTATCATAATGTTCTGCACTGTTTCCATCATTCTTGCCATTCACAGTCTAATAGCGGTTTATTATCTGACTTATTTCATATCCTCACAGCATTTGCTTGAGAGCAAAACAGCATGCAAAGGAAGTCTTTTAAGCACAACAGCCAAGAGCCTTTGAATACTGATGACATTCTGCTCTTTGCATCTCAGAAGGAGGCGTGGCAAACCTATTCTTGTCTTACTCAGTATGCCAGAATGTGGCCAGGCTGAGTGACTTCCTAAGAATATCTATCCAATGGTGAAGCTGCTTGTGTTTCTTTTATTTTTTTCAGCTCTCCCTATTTCACATACAGTTATCAGGTCTGTGGACTGAATGACTATAGGTAGTCCTCAACTTACAATAGTTTGTTTAGTGACTATTCAAACGGCATTGAAAAAAGTGACTAATGACCATTTTTCACACTTATGACCATTGCAGCATCTCCATGATCACGTGATCAAAATTCAGATGAATAGCAACTGGTTCATACTTATGACGGTTGTAGTGTCCCAGGTCATAAGATCACCTTTTGTGACCATCTGACAAGCAAAGTCAATGGGGAAGCCAGATTCACTTAACAATGGCGTTACTAATTTAACAACTGCAGTGATTCACTTCACAAACGGGGCAAGAAAAGTTGTAAAATGGGGCTTAACAAATTTCTCACTTTAGCAACATAAATTTTCTGCTCAATTGTAGTTGCAAGTAGAAGACTATCTGTAGTGTTTTATGAAAATGATTAGATCAGCGGTCACCAACTGGTGGGCCGTGGCCCACTGGTGGGCCGTGGCCCACTGGTGGGCCATGAGAAAATTTTGGTAGTCCACAGAGAAATCTCACCCCCAGAGCACACCCCCAAGGCAATTAATCCAGGCTGCTGAGAAACACAAGGCTGCTCAGCCCACATGGCCCGCGGGAACCCTCCCCGCCCACTCACTCCTTACCCGGTAAACTTGCCTGCTAAGTTGCTATTTTTCCTTTTTCCGACCATCATCTGTTCTGCTGTGCCAGGAGATTTAGATTAGCTAGGAAGCAGGAAATGATTGGGTTTCTTGCTTTCTAGCTAATCTTTAGATCTTCGGCTCAGCACAGCTGAACCTCCCTTAGGACTGAAGATTTGCTTGCAAGCAAATTCAGTGCAGACTCACGGCAAGCAAATTTGAGAGACTTAGCTAGCCGATGACAGATAGATAGATCATTGAATGATTCTGTGAGCAACTCAATCTGCCTGCTTTGCCTGATTTTGGGTAAAAGTTGCTCTTTTTCGATAAAAAATTCAATATTTACATGCATGGTGTGTTGTGAGTTAATTTTGTGAGTTTGCTTGCAAGCAAATTTTATGTGACAGACTAAACTAGCCAATGGCAGATAGATAGATCTCTGAATGAATCTGTGATTCTGTGAGCAACTCAATCTGCCTGCCTGCTTTGCCTGATTTTGGGTAAAAGTTACTCTTTTTTAATAAAAAAAATTCAATATTTATGTAAATATTTATAATATTTACATACAAGCCATGCCTGGCCAGTCACATGACCACCAAGCCACACCCACAAATTAGGCCATGCCCACAGAACCGGTTAGTGGTCCTGGGATCTAAAATTATGAGTTTGGTGGTCCCTGAGGTCCAAAAGGTTGGTGACCCCTGGACTAGATTATATTTATTCATAAAGTAAACAATTCAAAATACATTTCTTGGCAATCACATAGATTTTCTCCAGGAATATGGTTCTCTAGCTTACACTTAATGACCATGAGATTTGCTTAATGACTGCAGTGAAAATGTTCATAAAAATCAGATCCAGTTTAATGACCACATCACTTATCAACTGACATTCCAATCCCAATTGTGGTTGTAAGTCAAGGATGTATTGCTACTGTATGACTGCAAAAAACAATAAGCAAATAATCCCCTTTTTGGCACCTTTCCTTCCAACACAAAAGTTTAAAGATATGGCATAGTGCATAATAAATAATGTGGTGCCTGAAAGAAATGGAGAATTAAATTTTGCACTGGTATCTGCAGCTCTGTCCCTTTTCTTTATTCATTAAGTTTTTAAAAAGCCACTCAAGTTTTCTCAGTGGAGTGTGTAATGCTGTGATGAAATGCTGAGGTGCTTTTGCCTTTTCATTATATCTCATCAACTGATCAGTGTGAAATAAAACTGGGAAGGAATTGGTCTGGCATAGCATTTGCAGTGCCAAAAATAATTTAAAAAAAAAACCCCACAATACAAATTGTAGAATTCGCCTCAGGTATTGACCACAGTTTTTAGGAATTCAAATAAGGAATGGTAGTATCGAATGGGTCACAATTCCCCAAATCAAACAGAGCCTGACTTCTTGTATCTCCATCACAAATTAAGGCAGCGGTTAAAAAAAAAAAAGGCCTTTGGTTGTGAAAAGTGAAACAATAACAACAAAAAAGGCTATTATATCCTTAAGCTTGTTTCTTCAACCATAAGGATATGTAGCCTTTGTTTTCTATCATTAACATTTGCCTGTTTCCAAGTTTAATACATATATGGAAAGAATATATGAGCTACTTGGGAAAAAGAGAGCATCTGTTGTAGGCAGTGCTGCACGAATGAATCTTTGATGCACATGAAAAGTGCTAATTCCTATTCCAATATCTGACAGTAACCACAGAATGGTAAGAAGATAGTAAAGGAGCTAGCAGGCTTTTTCCGGTTGACTATCCCTTCACTACAGTGATGGGATTCAATTTTTTTTTACTACTGATTTTGTGGGCGTGGCTTGGCTTGGCGGGCATGGCTTGGTGGACGTGGCAGGGGAAGGATACTGTAAAATCTGCATTCCCACCCCACTCCTGGGGGAAGGTTACTGCAAAATCCCATTCCCTCTCCACCCCACTAACCTGCTTTCCAGCTCCGTTCTCCTGTGCAGGGCAACAAAAGAAGACCCAGCTAATCAGCTGGGACTTGGGAGGCAGTGAATAGATGGGGGCGGGGCCAGTCAGAGGTGGTATTTTCTAGTTCTCTGAACTACTCAAAATTTCCACTACAGGTTCTCCAGAACTGGTCAGAACCTGCTGAATACCACCTCTGCTTCACTGCAAATATCTATTCTAGACAGAAGAGCACTATGGCTTCAATTAAGTCAACGGAGTACATTAAAAACAAACCCTCTTAGAACCAGAATGCTGTTCTGGATCATTATGTGGATCATTATGGTAGCAAAGAGAAGAGCAGAATTGCCCTTTGCTCCTTAAACATAACAGAATTAGAGATATATTTCTAATAGTGACTAGCAGTTCTTATAATTATTCTGTTTACTTTTTCCCAAAAGGCTTTAGAAGCTTACAACATGTTTCATATACAGAAATGGGAGAAGGAAGAAGCTGCCACACTTACCAAGGGACAATTCCATTTTATTCCCACAGTTAAATTCTACAAACACTAAAAAAATATAGCAGTAAATGCATAAGCTGCAGAACCAGAAATAAAATAATACTGCCATCATCAAAACTTTCATTTTTGAACTGGGACTATGAACAGGTTTCACAACAGGAGCAGTTGTGTTAATTACATGAAAGAAATTGACTGGATGGTTATTGTGTAGAGAAAACAAAAATAACACTGTATGTAAAAATAACTTGATTTGAAACAGTTACATAAATCATAAACTTACAAATATCTGAGACTAGGAAGATTCTGGAATGCATGTCTATCGATATACACAAGATTGTTTGCTTTCTCAATCCTTCTATAGGGAAAAAAGAAAAATGTCCATAAGAATATGTATTGTAAAGACTCAAGTCTTGCTCTTTGAGAGAAAACAGAATGAGTAAGCAATATTTACTTACCAAGCTGCATGTAGCTTGTCAAATATAAAATTTCACTATAATCTTAATATTGAGTTACATGTTTACAGAAAGGCATACTAGTGAAGTCACCACCATCTCCTGAGGACCATTACCCTACAGAAAATACTTTTCTGATGTTGGTGTAATTAATATGTACATTTACTTATGATAACTATAGCCCAAGTACAAGCTTATAGTAAATAAACTATTAGTATCTTTTTATTGATCTGTTCTTATTAAAGGATTAACTTATAATATGATAAGTTAACCATAAATTGAGTTTATGAATTTGATTTTGGCCAGAGCTTAAAAATTTACCTGTTCAAGGATTATGATCCATCTGGCAATTCCTTTCTTTACTCCAAATCCATCATTCCTTACAACTCATTGAGTATATCAGGGCTTCAATGCTTCCCTTTTGAAACTGTTTATCATCTTAGATTATTATTTGAAACTTCTCCCAAGTGCCACCATTTTCAATATTAAGCAAGCAGGAAAAAAGAGGCAGCTTTTTCAGTGATGGTACCATACCTTCATAATACCCTCCATGAGAATGTTTGGTGGATGATGCCTTATAGTGATTCTACTCAGTCTAGAAGTGAAGAAATGGCAGCCAAGGGCTAATTTCTATTTTTTAAAAAAATAAAAAAATGCATTTTTTTCAGGCTGCGAGGAAAAGAGGTCATGGCAGTTACCAATGGTTGGATAGAAATAGACTTTTGCCCCCTTTTCTTTTGATAAATATAAAAACATTTATATAATTTCATCAATTAGTTCATTACATTTTTAATGAGATTTTCTATTTTCAGTTCCATTTATTACTTACATTTCATAAAGCTTGGGCAGGTGGGAGAAAACATCTGATTCTATGGTTTCCAGTGCATCATTTTGAGAGATCTCTCTGTCCAGGAAATGGAAATAAATGACTAGAAATGTTAATTGGGCAAATACTGTATGTATAAAACAAATAATTCAAAAATTTTGTAATTTTCAAGAATTAAATAGCTGTAAACTGGAGTCCATTAAAACACACGGTTGTTTTTAAAATTAAATCATATCTCTAAGAGTTTTTTTTTTAGCACCAAACTGTTTACCATAAATGAGACATAATCTTCTCAATTTAAAGGTGAATGTTTGGGAGAAATAACCTAGTTTTCCTTTCAGATAAATATAGTTGTGATCAACCACCACAGCAAGAAAGAGCCTTGCTTAAAAAACTTTTTTCTTGATTTTCAGAAGTTTGTTTATACCTTCATCACTTGTATTGACATGATTGCCTGGAAACTAAAGTAATACAGGTCATTCTGCTGTCCATGTAACTTCGTTTGCTCATATTGGCATTAATGTCAGAAGAAATATTTGCAAGAATGTGCAATATCACAGCAATAGACATGTTTATTTAATCTTGGTTGGCTATGTTTATCCAATATATATAGCCATAGATACACAAATCACTGTCAAGTGAACCAGGCTGCAGTATGTCTTAGCATGATGTATTAATGAGGGGTCCTTGATGCTCTCTGAGCTTGGTTGTTTTTTTTCCAACCATGAGCTACAAATATTTTCCTCAATTGATATGATGTATTAACCTTGTCCACATACATATATACGTATTAAATCTAACTGGACTCAGTGTGGGTTTGACAATAGTGGGATTTACATTGGAGATCTTCCTGTGTTAAAGAGGAACAAAAACAAGGAATAAAACAGTTCAATATATATATAAACCAGGGATGGGATTCAAATTTTTTAACAACTGGTTCTGTGGGCATGGCTTAATTGTTGAATGTGGCTTGGTGGTTATGTGACTGGGTGGGCATGGCCAACTCGATGTCACTCACGTCAAGGGGCACTTCTCCTCGCCTGCCATCTCATGACAGTGGGGATGCTGCAATGGTCATAAATGTGAAAAATGGTCATAAGTCACTTTTTCAGTAGCATTGTAACTTTGAATGGTCACTAAAGGAACTGTTGTAAGTCAAGGATTACCTGTACAAAAATACAAAAAGCTTCCTTGCTTGCAAAACGCTGCTCTAAATACCAATCATTAGATTAAAAATACCTGCAAGCTGGAGTTACAAATCAGGCAGGATGCCAGAGCACCTTGAGGAATTAAAATAGTTAAAATGCAATAACTATCAGCAGCCAACTCTTGCTCATAAAGTGAAACCCTTTAGCAGAGAGATCATTTAAGCTCTCCAGAAAGAGCACACCCAGAAGAAGCAATCCTTAGATCCATTTGCACCATTATACCAGCTGGTCTCACCCACCTCACAAGATATCCTAAGGAAATTATCCAGATTTAAGGAAAGGTCACATGCCCCCCAGAAAGGCAGTAAAAAATCAGTGCCAACCTTGTATCCTGCTTCTTGGAAGCACACCCCAAAAGGACAGTGCCAGATACCACTAAAGCAGTGAAGGAAGACCCCCTCCCCAGGTAGAAAAAGAAACCATGAGGCAGGAAAAAATTCAAATACAATACAAATAATTAAATCACAATAGTAGCTGTTGCTTTTTAAACCAATTACCAGAACAAATAGACACAGGAACTAGCCAGATTTCTTAACCCAGTTTCTTTTCAGGAACAGAGATTAATCTTTTTCCTTCCAAACAAAGCTGAATAGGGAAAATTATCCCATCAATAAACACAGGATTAAATGACACCAAGCACAAAATTAAACTTCACCAAAAACCAGTTTTAGACCAAAATTCAGAAAGGGTATGTAAACTCATGTTTGAATGTCAATCTTTCTAGCTAGCCGAGAAGCCTTGCTGAATGTCACTCATCACAAAATGTCCTATTGTTTCTTTTATATTTTTTTATTTTTCTTATATTTATCCATGTATTCATAACTATATTTTTACTTATACCTATTATCTTGTAAGCAATTGACAAATACAAATAAAATAAATAAATAAATAAATAAATCTTGGTTCCTTGTCATTAAAAAGCTTCTTTCTGCAGCTCTGCTTCATTATTCAATTATTTCTTCAAAGTCCTGATCATTGCATGCCAGTTGGAAGTATTTCCAGGGGAGTATTTCCTCCCAACAGCAGTGTAAAAAGCTTAAAACAACCCTTCCACTTTAAGAAAGTATCAGGAAAGAAAAAAACCTCCTTCGGAGACAGTAAGTCTAGGCATACTGCCAAGAATGTAATAAGGGTGGAAAAAAACAAAAGGAGATTTCTTCTAACTACCGGTTCTCCGAACTGCTTAGAAAGTTAACAAGGGGTTCTAAAGAATCGGTCAGAACCAGTAGAATTCCACCCCTGATATAAACTAATAGAAATAAGATTAAATAATAAACACCTAATTAAACATAACACAGATAATCTACAACCTTCTACTTTTCATCATATACAAGGTTTTTTTTCTTGAATTTTATGCCTTTAATTTATTTGGATTATTATTTTTTGCTCCTTTCTGTGCTCTCCATAATGTACTTACCTTGAAAAGGTACAGCATGATGGCTATATATGTATTGAGTAATACATGATTGAACTGGAGTCTGTTCAATGGAAGTACAAAAAAATATGGGTTTTGGGGACTTCCGGTTTGTCGGCTTCGCGAGCGGCAGGGATTTGCAAAGCTGCGCGATCCCTGCCGCGCTAGCCGCTTTTGGGGCTCCGACCCAGACGGGTACGGAGCTAGGCTGCCCTGCAGGGGCAGCTGAAGGTAGGGGGGATCCGGAGAGGGGTTTGGGGGTGTTGCAGACCCCCTCCCCGGCCGGTAGAACCCCCTTTTCCCAGGACGGTGCAGTGGCGGTCTGTAATGGCCGCCACAAAGAAGCTGGCAGCCGGGTAAGAATGCGCAGGAGGAAGTGGAGAAAGTGCTTGAAAGGAGAAAGTTTTTCTTGGCTCCTAGGACTCTAAGACATATTTAATAAAATTCCTGAAAAGTATGACTTTCTAAATAATACCTGCCAGAAGAGGAAAAAAGCGGCAGTTTGATGGTGCTGAAAGGATAGCTTACCCTCTTTTCCTACGGAATAAATAACTGGATATTAAGAAACCTATTTTTTTTAGGTGAAAATTGGTTTTAAGCGATGAGTGGGAAGAGAGAGGATTAAAAAGAAAATATTTGTATGCTAAGACTTTGTTGGAGGAGATGCCTTAAGGATTTGAAGACTAGAATATATTGCAATAAGATTTTAAACAGATTTGGACTTTCTTTCTCTTTGATTGATATTACCCCAGAAGGAGAAAGTGAGAACTCTGCCTTGGTTTGGACTGACTGATAACTTTGGGACTGCTTTATTTTCTTTATTTTCTTTGGAATATTCTGGTTGTTGTAAGAAGAAAGAAGGGGAAAAGAAAAGAAAAGATTTATAATGGCTTTTTCTGTTGAGGAACTAAGAAAAGAATATGAACAAGCAAAAAAAATGGTAAAGATGGTGTGGAAGAAGCTTTCCTTTTTTTAGAAATGGCGCTTACTAACTATCAACAAACATTACAACAGATGAAGACAGCAGAGGAACAAGAAAGAAAGGAAGGAGCCATTTTTAATGAATCTCAGAATTTGATCAAGAAAGAAGGAAGAGAGAAAAGAAGAGAACTAAAGGACTTAAGATCTAAAAAAACATTTAAGAAAGGGAAAAATAAGGTGCAAAATCAATATGATGATAGTAAACAAAAGGGAAAAGGAACACGACAGAGAAGGGAAGCCAGTAAGGCAGAGGCTAGAAGAAGGGGGGGTAGAAAGGTTTGTTGGGAGAAGAAAGAAAGGGAAAAGGTGGAGAAAAGCTACAATGTTTTGAAATTAAATGAAAAAAAGGATTTTTTTATGGATAATGGATAAAGTATAATTTTTTCAAAACGATTTTGCAAGGTACATAAGATGAGATGGTAGTATTGTAATGGTTTAAGAGTTGATAAGAGATTAAAATGTTAAAATGTTTAATAATGATTGGCTTTAAAATTTAATAATAGGGGAGGTTTAGAATACTGTTTTAATTAAAGAGTTTAATAAGATTATGGTATTGATGTTATTATAAAATTTTTATTATAGTATTTGTTTTTAATATTTGGATTTATTGTCTAATTATGTATTTAATTATTTTGGATGTACTAGTTAGATAGAATGTACCAAGCAAAATCGGATTGGGTATTGGATGTTATCTTAAAGGTTAATTTGATTAATTTAGGGGGGAGATAGAAAGGCATCATACTCTGATTAATGATTTCAGGAGAAACTTATTTTCTTCTTTTTTATAAGGAATGAGACAAAGGGACGATAAAAAATGGACAAAAGATACAAATATAATGATTCAAACTAAGATGATTAATTAAGATAGAATTAAGAAGAGTGAAATATGTGGAGAAGTTAATATAGAAGACTTAGAATGGTAAATAAAATAAGTAATGATATGTAAGATGAGCATGAAGATAATTGAAGTCCATGAAGAGAGAGATACCTGGGTCCAAGTTACTTTCCAAAAAGATTTTTTTTATGTTTTGTGTGTTGTGTGTATATGTTTTTTTTGGGGGGAGAATTAGTAAAAGCTTGCAGAAATATAGAATGAGAATAATGGTAACTAAGTCAGAAAGAAATAGATGAAATAATAATAATGATATTGAATAAGAGTAAAGAGAAGTAAAGAGAAATTGAATAAGAGGTTTTTGTATGTTATATGGAAATGGTTTAAAACAGAATCATAATTTATCTGACTTGTTAAATTTACAATGAAAAAAGGTTTAAACATGTAATGAATAATGATAATTTGTGTGTTTTAAAAATTAATAAAACTTGTTTAAAAAAAAAATATGGGTTTTAGTGTATTGACATACACTAAAACCCATATTTTTTTGTACTTCCATTGAACAGACTCCAGTTCAATCATCAAAATTTTATTTTGGAGTTCCATCCTTCCCAAGTTTTCTAGCTTTTTTACATACTCACTA